TCAAAGCAGTTGGACATACTGCAGCTTCCAAGTTTGCTAAACCATCTGCGCAACCTTCACAGACACCTGAAGGCACTGGTTCAGCATCATCCTCATCGGCTAGTGCACCAAAGGGCAAGGCTATGCCGAAATCCCATGAACCATCAAAGGCACCGCCTGCAAAGCCTTCATCGCCGAAAGCTGCTCCAAAACGTGCGGCAGGATGGGAGAGAACTCCAACAGCACCTCAATGGAAGAAAGTCCGCCGTGAGCAGTGAACTTATTACCTCTGTCCGTCAAAATGGTCACTGAACTACAAGATGTGTATCGTCTTTGTAAACAGATGATCAGGAAAAGACCAACTGAGTGGACTCTGAGCGAGGCAGTAGACTAATTCGCTTAGGTTCAAGACTTTTGATATTCCCAATCTGCATGAAAGTCTGCAATGTGCACGTGAATTCGTTAGTTAGCATTGTAAATCTTTGGTAGCGAAGTGACCCATTTCTCCCTACGGGTGAGTGGCGAGCTTAGCCAGCGTAGATGAGTAGATGTTAGCTAGCAATAATTCGCGTTGTACAGCTTGATGAAGCGCCGAAGCATCGACAGCCAGAGAGTAGGCGAACCCTGAACCATTATTCCCTTCGGGAATGTGGGGAAGGGGGAACCGAATGGCACGTTTTATGTACAAAGGCGTAATTCAAGTAGCAGAAACAATCTAATTCAAAGTTCCCTCTCTCGTGTCCGTGGTTCGAAGAATACCACGGGCATGGGGGGTGTCAAAGGGAACTAAACGCTAGGGCACTTATCATGTACACACGTGATTGTGCATTTGGAACGCCGTATTGGCTCAAGTCCCTGCGTGAGGAAAAAAAGTCCGAGCTCTGCATGCAATGCCGTAACGCTGTCCGGAACTACCAGCACTACGGGTATCACAGCTCAATAACCACATATCCAGAACAAGGATTCGTTTTGTTCACAATATACATACATATATCATATACATATATCATATATATATATATATCATATATATATATATGGTCCAACATTCGTTCCAACCCCCTTCCATGGTCATGGGTCAGCAATACACACCAGTACTAGTACTATCCCCCTCCCCCCTGTGGTGTGGTGGTGTGTGTGTGTAAAACATCTAAATAGATGTAAAACTTCTCTCTTTTTCTTCCTTCTGTCCTCTCCCTTTCTAATCTTAATAATAATGCAGGGGGTGGATGCATGGTCTGGCAGTCATCCACCAACGAAGACACTGCCTTTCCATGGTGATATGACGAAGGGACGCCTTTGTCGCGTACCTGCCTTTTTTCCTTAATTTGTTTCTCATCTAATTTGCATGTTACAGGATTCAGTTCCTGCCGGATCACTACAATGATCCATTCTTATCTAGTGTGATTCCTATGGTGACTCCGACATGGTGCCATAGGGCCAATTGAGGCAACCCTGTTTGGGGTGAATGCCGACTGAACTGACTTCCGAATTTACACCTTTGAATTCGTAATTCGTTTAAGTAAAGTGCAACAGCTGGCCTTTCTGTTTTGCACCTTTTTCGAGAATTCCCGCGGCTCCGGACGTCCCAGGGACCCCAGTGACTTGCATCTCTCTCAGCGTGAAATCGTTCGGAACAACCAGAAACTTCTTTTTTGCCACTGCAGCTTGAGTTTTCGAAGTTCAACATGACAAGTGCGACTACAGGCAACAGGCATGTCCTTTTCCTGCAGGTGTGGTCTCTTTGGTATCTGGTGAGGTGAAACATGTTGTGCACCTAATTCGCTGGAACTTGAAAGCCGTTTATGCCACTTGGGGCAAGAACTGACCACGTTCCCAGACAGGGAATAACGCACGACACTTAGGTAGTTTGGAACTGAGTCCTGTTGTTTAATTAATTGTTTTGGTTTTCTTTTCTGTCATCAACTAGTCCCCCATTTAGTCCCTAATTTTCCCCGCGTGCCTCTCCGTAATGTGTCGTGGGGTTTAGGTGTGTGCGCTGTTTTGGTCAGGTCCGTTTCGCCGTGTAGGTTGGTTTTGGAGGTCCGTTTGTTCCCCTCCCCCCCCCCTGCTCGGTTCTGTCCTTCTGCCCGTCGTCTGTGTTCGCTTTTTTCTTCCTCTTGCCTTTCAGGGTTGACCCGGCTCCGGCCGGGTGTGTGTGTGTGTGTAACATCTAAATAGATGTAAAACTTCTCTCTTTTTCTTCCTTCTGTCCTCTCCCTTTCTAATCTTAATAATAGTGCAGGGGGTGGATGCATGGTCTGGCAGTCATCCACCAACGAAGACACTGCCTTTCCATGGTGATATGACGAAGGGACGCCTTTGTCACGTACCTGCCTTTTTTCCTTAATTTGTTTCTCATCTAATTTGCATGTTACAGGATTCAGTTCCTGCCGGATCACTACAATGATCCATTCTTATCGTGTGTGTGTGTGTCTGTGTGTGTGGAACATCTGAAGAGATGTAAAACTTCTCACTTGCACTTGGTTTTTCGCCTGAGGTTCTAATCTTAGTTTGGTTTTCTACCTGAATTCAACAAAGGTTTCCAATTTGAATTTCAGCAGGGGGATGGAGTGTGCTTCAGATGTCTCCATCCAACGAAGACGCATCTGTTGCACAGTGATATGGATTGGGGACGCTCAATCCACGTACCTGCTCAATCTTGTTCATTTTCGTCCATGGCAACCGGCTAAGCCAAGTACCGGCATGTCGTTTTTCCAACAGTTTTCAAACCAAACGACTGTACGGTTTTCGCAATCTGACTGAGCTGCATCAGAACTAGTTAATCCTTCGAGCAAGGACGTAGAATGCTTACTTCGCACTAGTTCTCACGTTGGGTCATCCGACCGCTCCTGTCAGGTTTGCCTGAAGTGTTTTTGCACGTACGATGCATTCCACATCAATAATTCGATAAGCTATTTCTGAGCAAGTGTGTTCTTCATACCGGATTCGTCAAGGTGGTATGAACCCCTCGGGGAAAGCCTTTCCAGGCTAAAGATTGACACGTTGAAACGACCTCTGAATTGACACTTTTGAATTGGTAATTCGTCTAAGTACAGTGAAACAGCCGTTCAATTTTCAGATTTCACTCTGTCGGTCGAGCGAGTGTTGACAAATTCCCGCTGTACCAGGGACTCACCCTTTCTGGCACTTTAAGAGTTTGTAGCCGTCAGCTGCGTCAACACCTTGTTTTTTGGATACTGCTCCAGCGAGTGACAGACAGACATGACTTTCATGCATTTCATGAGAGATAACCCAGGCAGGCACACGACTTTAGGTGTGGTGATTCTTTCTTTTTATGGTCGTTGGTGAGGTTCAATTGTGCACGTAATTCAGGGGTTGAACACGTAAGCCGTCTACGGGGTTGTGAAATGAAAGCCGAGGGCCTTTGAGCCTTATCACGAAAAATGCACGTAATGTGGATGCATCTTATTTCATCAACTAGTTCCCCATTGGCCCCCTATCTCATGCGTGCTTTCCTCTCTAGGTCAGGTTTGGGTCCTTCGCGTTCCTAGGTAGGCTTTGGCTCTCGCCTTGTAGGTTGTGTCAGGCGCTTCTGTCCGCCCCCCCCCTCCTCTGGTTGGTTTTTTGGCCCGTCGTCCGTCCGCTTTTTCTTTTTCCTTGCCCTTTCAGGGTTTGCCCGTTTGGGCCAGGTGTGTTGGTGTTGGTGCTCTCTCTTTTTCATTTTCCTTTTTGCGTTCCCCGTCTTGTGTTCCGGTTAAGCCATTGTCATCTCATTTTCATCGTCATCTCATTTTCATCTTTCCTTCATCTTCACCTTCATCTCATTCGTCGGGGCCTTAAAAAGCCTCGCGGCAGCGGGGCGTGTGTGTGGAACATCTGAAGAGATGTAAAACTTCTCACTTGCACTTGGTTTTTCGCCTGAGGTTCTAATCTTAGTTTGGTTTTCTACCTGAATTCAACAAAGGTTTCCAATTTGAATTTCAGCAGGGGGATGGAGTGTGCTTCAGATGTCTCCATCCAACGAAGACGCATCTGTTGCACAGTGATATGGATTGGGGACGCTCAATCCACGTACCCGCTCAATCTTGTTCATTTTCGTCCATGGCAACCGGCTAAGCCAAGTACCGGCATGTCGTTTTTCCAACAGTTTTCAAACCAAACGACTGTACGGTTTTCGCAATCTGACTGAGCTGCATCAGAACTAGTTAATCCTTCGAGCAAGGACGTAGAATGCTTACTTCGCACTAGTTCTCACGTTGGGTCATCCGACCGCTCCTGTCAGGTTTACCTGAAGTGTTTTTGCACGTACGATGCATTCCACATCAACAATTCGTGAGCTATTTCTGAGCAAGTGTGTGGTGCAGTGGGGTATAGTGAAGTGTATGTATGGTACGGCTTAGCATGGCATAGCATGGTATGGTATGGCATAGCATGATATGGTATGGTATGCTTGGTATGTATGGCAGGTATGGTAGGTATGGTAGATATGCTTTGTATGGTGGGATGGTGGGATGGTGGGATGAGGCAGGGCCGGGGGTGCGGGGGTATTGTATATAAATCTTACGCAGGAAATGCACGTCAAACAATGTTAAAGACATAGATTATTGTGAACGGAATAGGTACTAAATAGGAAGTAGCTACGCAGCGTATGTGATTACTGTATAGGTAGTACATAGATACTTTTGAGGGAATATATGTACTATGTCGGTCGTCCAAAAGGTAGCAAGTACCTAGTAAATGAGAGGCTGGAAGTCAGATACTTAGTAAATACGAGGCTGGACGGGTGCTAGCTGGGGACCCATACCATGGGGAGGGTAAGAACACGGAACACGAAACCATATATCATATATATATAAGAACTGACTATATATATATATAATTATATATGTTACATTGTTAGCATAGTTATAGATATCTAATTATATATGTTAGCTAAGTTGTTATATCTATAAGTATATAAATTATATTTGATTTTATAATTTTATAAATCAACTTAGCACCACTTAACTTAGCTAACAAACTGGGGCGCCACCGGGGAATCTCCTGAGTCGTGCCAGGAGTGTTGGCGGCAGCAAGATCGTGCATTTGACACCATCTGCGGGTCGCGACAACATTTCTTGCGAGACATTTTCGAAAACGTGTTGCATTTACTTATGCTAACAGATGGCGGGTCACCATTTCTGTGTTAAATTTTTGATGTCCTTTTCCAAGGAAGAATCAGAAAACACCAACATGCTCTGAACATGTTCGTTCTGCAACGTGCCAGAACTCCGGCCTGCTGTGCACCAGAAATTTGGGCCACCCAGGAGTGGGATATCGTGGGATGGTGATGATGGCGGGTGTTGATCCCGAGTGTTGGGCCCTTGGGCATTCGCGTCGAAGGAGAAAGCTATTCCACTTTGGCGGAAACGCTGGGGAATGAGGCATGAGTCCAAATGTCCTGTGGGGAAGCAAATGCATGGATAATTCCAAGTGTCAGGTGCCAAGACCTGAACATGCTCCAAGCATTTATATGAACAAATCGATATTCATATTGCAGATTATTACAGATCATTTCAGTTCTATCCAGAGAAAAGAACCTTGAATGGAAATGAAGCTGCTTCCAAGGGATCCCGAACATGCATCCCTGGAGTTTGGGGATCTATTTGCTGCTTTTTGCTCTACAAAAGTAGCCGAAAAAGGTGCCCCTTCAACGTATGCCAAACAAAATGTTCCCTCATTTCAGGGCGAACTCGCATATATGTACTGGGACAATGCGCGCACAAACAGCATCCATGGTTTGCAGAAATGGGCAGTCGAAATAACCCAGGGAACCATTTATGATCATTTCAGTTAGAGAAGATTGCCTATTTGTATTTCAAATTATTTACTGAACATGTCAGTAGATTGCTTCAAGTGAAAACTTACTTATAGTATTATAGGATCGAATATAGGAAATCATGTTTTCCCTCAGCAAAGATACACCTGGTTTTTAAAGAAGTGTTCTTTGAAAAGGTTCTCTTGATCAGTTTTTTTTGGGGGGGATGTTCCACCAGCACCAGCACCAGCTTTTAGAGGCTCCAGAGAGCCGGGCTCAAGGTCCGCCGCGCGAAACATGGCGGTGTCATCAAATGCCAAAGCGCAAGGCGCTGCTGGGAGTTGAACGAAGACAAGTCACATTCTCTGGAAGATGTTGTACGTGATTCAAATGGAGTATGTCAGTTTTCAGATGTTTCAGAATGTTCAGTGAAATCTTTATCTCTTTTTCATCATCAGTCCGAGATCATCGTTGCAAGTATATCCTTTCTTAGAAATGTTGTGACTCGTTCGACAGGATACCTGATTGTTTCATAATAGTGAGTATTGTTCAATCAATTCTCAACCATATTCAATTCACATTCATATGTTTATTCATATTAATATTCTATTGATCTACCATATTCAATGACATTCAATTCATATTCAATGATATATTCAATTGTCAACCATATTCAATAATATTCCATACATATCGTATGTGCCCAAATGTATATGTATGGAATTGATCTACAAGTTCTGACTGGACATTTGGATGGCCATCCTTGGATGCATGCTTTGGAGTTTTTTAACTGGAGTTCCCTTAAACAGTTTGGCTAAGAATGGCCGTTCGAGGATATAAATAGATAATAACATATATATATGTATCTTATAATATTTTTTGTATAGCAACTATCATGTAACATAATATAATCTTAGTACTTTTTTCTGCTCATTGCAGTTTTCGCTTGGATTTACGCTCGTTCTGACTCTTTATGCTCACTTGAACTATAAAACGCGCATTTGTTTCTTGCCGGACGGGCATTTACGCTTTTTTCCGGGGTATTTACGCTTATTTCCCCGGAAAATACGCTCATATGTTTGGCTTCAAAATGCACAAAGTGCAAAAAATGCCAAAAGTGGTACAACTACGCTCATGTGGAGAAAAACCGCTCAAAAAGCAGAAATCTCGCAAATTGGTTTACTCGTGCTTTTTCAAGGATACAGGTATATTGTACCATATGATCTAATACAATGCAATACAATACACTACAACACAATACAATACAATGCAATACAATTAATTTTAATTACAACATGATTCAATAAAAATATATATATACGGAGACGACCTTTTGGGTTTATTTTGTTCCTACGTTCATATGTCCACACACGTGCTTTCTTGTAGGAAAAAACTAGCTGAACTGCATGGGTTGGCTGGTCCCCACTGAAAATCTATAGTCCAGCTGCCTGTGCGTACTGGCATAGTAGGTGGAGGGAGGGCCACAAAAGCATCGATACATGTCCAGGTATCCTGAAGGGTCGTCAGGCAAGGCTCCCTCAGCTGTGGTCTTACTTTGAAACCATTTAGCCTTCCTCCGCTTGTGTTGTTCTATTGTCGCTAGGTTGGAAGAGTTGTCCCGTAAGGAGGTCCGGCAAGGCTCTCTCAACTACGGTCTTGGGCAAGGTTCCCTCGGCTATGGTCTTACATGTTTGTCGTTTGTTGCTGAGGTGGAAGGGTTGTCCCATTATATAAGAGCATGAAGCAAGAGCTCTTTGACATTGTGTTCACTTCTTTGATGTCTTTCACTATCTCCTCTTGTTGTAACTTGGGTGAACGGGTTTGTAGTTGTCTGTTGCTGCTGGGGTGGAAGGGCTGTCGTCTTGTGTACTTGTTTGCTGTTGCCCGGGTGCAAGGTCTGGCTCAGTCTCTTTTCAGAAGGTTGGGCTCCAGTGACCCCCCCTTCACTTCTCTCACTTCTCCTGCTTGGCGTCTCTTTATCATTTGTTCATGGGGCGGAAGCGCGTGCTCGTCTGCCAATCTAGGCGCCAAGTATCTTCAGAAAATCATGTTTTCCCCTTTTGCATGTTGTGTTTTCATGTGTTTTCCATCTTATTTCATTCTTTTCTATGTAGTCTTCCTCTTCCCCTATTCTTACAAGGATGAAAGGGTTGTCTCTTGACCAGTGGTGTTGTATCTATTTATCTAATCTATATATACTTGTTGTTGATGGGAAACAATGGGCTCTTAAGGGGAGGTTGGACAAGGTTTTTCTCAGCTATGGCACCCTTTCGCACGAAATGAGGTTCGATCGCCAAAAACTGAGGTAAAATTGCGATTTTGAAAGCGTCCCGCGCAACCCTTTCGCACGAAATGAGGTTCGCTCGCCAAAAACTGAGGTAAAATTGCGTTTTTGAAGCGTCCGGCGCAACCCTTTCGCTTCTGTGTGTAAAAGCTTCTGTGTGTAAAAGCTTCTGTGTGTAAAAGTCTCTGTGTGTGAAAGCGTCTGTGTGTAAAAAACGTCTGTGAGCAAAAGTCTCTGTGTGTAAAAGCGTCTGTGTGTAAAAGTGTCTGTGTGTAAAAAGCCTCTTTGTGTAAAAGTGTCTGTGTGTAAAAGCGTCTGTGTGTAAAAGCCTCTGTGTGCAAAAGCCTCTGTGTGTGAAAGTGTTTGTGTGTAAAAGCCTCTGTGTGTAAAAGCTTCTTTGTGTAAAAGCCTCTGTGTGTGAAAGTGTTTGTGTGTAAAAGCGTTTGTGTGTAAAAGTGTCTGTGTGTAAAAGTTTCTGTGTGTAAAAGCGTCTGTGTGTAAAAGCGTCTGTGTGTAAAAGCGTCTGTGTGTAAAACCTTCTGTGTGTAAAAGTCTCTGTGTGTGTGAAAGTGTTTGTGTAAAAGCCTCTGTGTGTAAAAGCTTCTGTGTGTAAAAGTCTCTCTGTGTAAAAGCGTCTTTGTGTACGATCTTCTTTGGGTAAAAGGGTGTAAACTGTAAAGGTTTCTGTGTGTAAAAGCGTCTGTGTGTAAAAGCTTCTGTGTGTAAAAGTCTCTGTGTGTGAACGTGTTTGTGTGTAAAAGCGTCTGTGTGTAAAAGCGTATGTGTATAAAAGTCTCTGTGTGTAAAAGCGTCTGTGTGTACAATATTCTTTGGGTAAAAGGGTCTGTGTGTAAACGTTTCTGTGTGTAAAAGCGTTTGTGTGTAAAAGCATCTGTGTGTAAAAGTGTCTGTGAGTGTAAAAGCGTCTGTGTGTAAAAGCTTCTATGTGTTTGTGACAGTGGTTATTTCCATGTGCGAGACTGAAATGAATGCACATTGAGCTCCATCGAATTGGAATGGTTACTGTGGTGAGCACGATGTGGTTCATATTCAGTGTCAGCTGGACGACATCACAGTGAAGCAGCCGGGCCGCGACTTAGAACGGCACAACGCATTGCAAAAGAATTGCCTCTCCAATTGGAAAAGCATATGCTTCCAACTGTGGCAACAGTCAATCATTGCCGTCAACGCAGACAAGCCCATGAACATTTTGTTTCATTGCTTTGGTGGCATCAACCGCAGCGCTGCGGTTTTGTGTGCTTGGCTCATCGCAGCCTATGGCTACAGCGCGGAAGATGCGACCAAACTGTTGCTTACAAAGAGACCGTCTCTTCGCCCGTGGCGCCATCGAGACTATGTTTTGGAGGCAGTGGATGATGGAACAACAGCGCTGTGAGTGGTACCGGGAATTCCGACTTGACGCGGCCTAGCTCTTATTTGCTTGTGCGCAGGGAGCCCTGAAACCGCAGAATGTTTCGATGTCAAAATGATGTCGAAAAGTATGTTCGCGACGTTTGTAGTTGAAGCTGTAGCGGAGACAAGTCAGCCGAAACTGTTCGTGACTTGTTGAGGCACGTAATTCTTCCTTTCTGACAAGTCAACCAGACCTATCTGAGACTTTGTCGTCTACAGTCAACTTCGTCGACAGTGAATAAAGCTGCTGATTGCTCTTGCGCAGGTAGTTGCATGGATCGATCTGATTTCTATCCGCAACATGTTCGATGGCATTGCTTATCGTCACACTTGCCTATGTGACATCATGAGGCTGCAGGTTCTTGCTCACATGAAGCTGGCTTTTCAGGTTAGGATTGCAAGAATGCAAGCACACATCGCAAAGTTTCTAGCAATCAAATGCAGGTCACCTAATGCAGGCCACGAACTTCACCCCCCTTTGGATTGCTGAGGTGCCCGCGACAACGATGACTTCCCTGTGAGTGTGTGTGTGTCCTGGTGTCTGTCCGCGTCTCTGTTAGTGCGTCTCGTGTCTATCTCTTTGTGTGCGTGTGTGTCTGTGCCTGTGCCTGTGTGTGTGTAACATCTGAATAGATGTAAAACCTATCCTTTTTCTTTTTTCTTTCCTTCTACATTGCAGGGGGATCAGGGACGTTTGGCCTGGCCTGATCCAACGAAGCTCCAGCCATTCGTCAGGATATGATTGAGGGACGCCTCGATCACGTACCTGTTCTTGATAAGTTGAACTGTTGACTTCAGTTTCTGTTAGCCGCCGTACTGTGTTTGCATCAATCATCAGTTCAATTTGAATTTCTAGGGTCTTGATTTCATTCCTCCGACATGGCATTGGGCTAAGCCAAGAACCGGAAGGGGATTCAGTTCCCATCGGATCGATTAAAGATCCATTCTTATCTAGTGTGTGTCTGCGTGTATGTGTCTTCCTCTTTGTGTGCGTGTGTGCCTGTGCCTGTGTGTGTGCGTGTATGTGTCTTCCTCTTTGTGTTCTGTTTGTGTGTGTGTGTGCGTGTGGTGTCTGTCTGTGTACCGTGTGTGTGTGTGCGTGCGTGCGTCTGTGTCTCTATCTTTGTTTGTGTGTCTGTGTGTGTGTGTATGTGTTTCTTTGCTGGCTGTCTCTGTTAGTCTCTCGTCAAATTGTGTGTCTATCTTTGTCTACTTCTGCTTAAAATCTGACATAGCATTTCTATCTCCTTTCTGCTGATCATCTGCATCATCTTCAATGAAGCTTTCACCCACAATGTCTTTGATACTACTTACAAGAGAGTAACATGCTCTTCTACGCTCTCGGGCCATCCGTCGTCTAGTTGTATATTTTACAAAATAATACAATATAATATATTTTTTAGATTATATATGTTCATTATCATATGAATGGTTTAACATCAATGCAATTTTCATACACTATAGCATAGTATAATATAACATAATAAAATATAGTATAATATGGTACGGTATGATCTCAACTTATCATTCGGGTAGACTATAAACCCTAAACTCACGCGCGTGGGTTTCTCCATGGGTTTCTCTTTTGGAGAATTATCACACGAGGGTACCGGAAAGCCCCCCCTTAGCAAAGTTGGCTTGTAAATAGGTTAACTAGGACTTATGGTAGATACATGATATATCTATAGAACTTACAACTGGGGGGTGGGTTGTCCGCAAATATGTCCAAAAAAAGGCCGTTTCGTTCGGATTTTTCGCCCAGGGCAAGGCCAATGTGCTTCGCTGCGAGTGGGTTTCGCCAGCGTGGGTTCAATGGGCCATCCGGACACCGCAGATGAAATCAGCCCACATCCGTGGGAAGAGAGTGTAATGATGAAAGTTTTGCTTGTGAGCGGTTAAGTCACTGCCACGGATTTATTAATATGTATTCCTTATTCCTTGTTTTTCCTGGGGGATCATTTGGGTGGCTCGACTTTCAGTCCTCTCATCAGATGTCAGAGTCGAATTTGTAGTGGTTGCGTGGCTCAATTTATGCATTTATTCTGACATTGTGTCGTGACAGACTTGCCAGAGTTGTTGCACCGAAGTGAGTCCCAAGATGCAAACTTAATGAAAGGCCGACTAGGATAGGAACTTGAGAGGCACGGAGACTCTCCGAGTCATATTTTAATACCTGGACCAGCGCTTGAAAGGTTGGTATTTTGGAGGTCTTGTTGCCACTGTGTATTGATCCCCTTGGACCTGGTTGGAACCTACCATTCAGGAGATGTGCAACGCACCTTGTGTCCACATGTTGAAGAACGGCTCGTGTCACTTGGGTTTTGCATGCGGCTTCTGCCACTTTGTGCACGGTAGAAAGAAGAAGCTGGACAAGAGTCAACGCAGCATATTGCAGGAGGCAGACACAGGACTGGCCCAGCTGTCTGCAGTTCATTTTTTCTCACTATCGACTGTCAACGTAGGACTAGCAACCAGCCAAGAGGCCTTCACGTATTCAATTGCCCTGGCCAGCTTTACCAATGGCTCATGGTAGGGAACCTTGGAAACCAGATGCATTTGGTTTCAGGACAACGGTTGGCCATCATTTTGCCTCATATCATCCAGAAGATGGCGCAGCTTGCAGATCCCGAGGTGGGCAAGTTGGCGCACATGCTTCGGCAGCAGCTGCAGTTGGTCACCGAGTCCAGCAGAGAAAATAATGACAACTTCCACAAGAAGTTGCGGCAGGTTCAGATTCACCGCAGCTTGGAGCGGATGAATTGCAGTGCCTTGTTCGATCTTGCCATGCCAGCTTTGCCTGAAAACATCCTTCAGACCTTCGCAGCTGTGCAAAGCCAGATGTTTCCTTTCCTGAGTCCGGGGGAGCAGATGGTCTTGCCAGAAGGAAGTGTGCTGAAATTTTGGCTATGAGTGAAAGCACCTCACATGTGCTTCGATTTTGTTCCTTCCTGCCGTTGGGGTCCTGGTAAACCAGAAAGGCACCAGCGACAGATGCGAATCTTCGGAAACAACAATCAGAGAGACGCATTGAATCATTAAACAATACCTTCTAATATTGATGTCTGTTGATGTATAGTTCAATTATCTGATTTTGCAAGTTTATACGATAATTAGCCTAGATATGAATTTTCTTTGTGTATGTACACAAGTATAGGTATATGATAGTATATATGTATGTAAATGTTTATGCATATTGTCTATATTGTATGTAAATGATTATGCAGCATGCATATTGTATATTGATGTATATTGTATCCGTACAACATATCCATATATTGTATTTTGATTTTTTACATGTACATTCATGAACAACCTGCATGTACTGTATATGCATAATTAATATGTACATGTGCATGCCTTTGTATATTATACCTACTGTATATGTACATGTATGTCCGAAGTACGATGTTTTTTCAAAAATGGGATTGCTTGGCTATTTTGAAGATGATTTAACGTTGCACAGATACTTTCTCAAAATGTCAGCGTGAAGACAAGTGTTTCTTTCTTGGTGAGGTAATTTAGGTATAGCGCTATGCCTTTCTTGTTAATGGGAAGCGATTGTAGCCCCCTTGAATTGGAATTTCAATGTGTTCAACCCCGTCTTTGGTCAATCCCTGGGGAAGCCCAGCGGTTTTGATTGTTGATGCTATTCTTATATATATGTATTCTATCTTAAGTTCAGAGCAGAATTTCTCTTGAGACTCAGTCCAGAAGCAACATGTTAACAGTAGCAAGCACAGATGAATCAACATCTTCAGCTTTTCGCGATCGTAGATGAAACAGCCTGTTCAGCTAGCTGGAAATGGGGTACACCGCCAAAATGACCATTTAAATAGGATCAATGATGATTCACCAATGGGTTTAGGGGTGCTCCGGTTGTACCCTATTTTCAGGCAAGCCCATGTAGATGAAGAGCCAATGAACATTATTACACCGGCCCACCCTCCAATCACCCCATTTGTACAATCCCAAGGCTTGTAGCTCCAGAGAAGGTCAAGCCTTATTGAGCCCAGATGTTTGTCTAAGTAGTTCTATATGCTGCAATATGCATGTATCATTCTATCTTTGTATTTACAGATGAATATTCTGACGTACGGACTGGTTTATGTGCACTACTATATATCCACGTGTAAATTGACGTATGTGAATATAATGTAATATCATATTATAATGTGTATTATAAATATATGTGTATATATATATATATACATATACGTGCGTATGTATGTGCAAATAGTGTCATATACATGTGCATCACACGCAAATCTACGTGTACATATCGACAGATATTTACACGTTTACAATGATGAAGAACACCGCTGCTGGAATTGCCACGCGGTTCATTGGCAATCAAAGCTCTGGAAAGAAACACATTTTTTTGAAAGTTATAAAACCATTTTTGGCTTAGTGGTATGATGCAAGATTGCTACCCAAGAATGGGCTGGTGTGCCAGCAGCTGTTTTTCGAGCTTGAAATCTTCACGAATACCCCTGGTGGTAAAATCTTGCAGATATGTCTTGCGTTCTGACTGATCCACTTCAGACTTCGCCGTTTACTACAGACTGTTCCTTGCTCCTTTCATGCTGTGCTCATTGCAAAGCCTCCCTTTAGTTACAAATGAGATGTGTCTTTGGAGAGAAGCTGGGGCCTGCAGACAGAATTCATGATTATCAATTTTCACAGAAAGGTTCCGCACCACTGCTCTCTGAAGCGTTGTTCCCCAATCGAGCTCAATTTTGAGTTCAGGGAAGGCCGCTCTGCAGCGGTCACTAAATAGATGAGTGAAATCCGCGGCTTGCTGCAGATCACTTTAGTGACAGGGCCTCATCTTTTTCAACAGGCGTGTCGAATTTTGAACGTCACGTTGCGTTGGTTAAGTTCTGGCTAAATGATGCTTATGCAGGATACACACATGTCACATGTCACATATATATATATTATGATAAGAGAAACATTGTGTGACACTGGTTCAGGTGAGCTGTGACCAGGATGCCCTTGCAGATTTGTGGACACGCGGTGATCTCAAAAATGACGACTGATGCTTCCTGTTCGACTTTGACAGGAGGCGACCTGGCCAAGTAGAAGCAGAATGGCAGTTTCAGGATGCAACAGAATAACACCCGGCCGGAGTGCTACCTTAATCGAATGCTGTCTAAATTTGATGGTGACTCATTCATCTATACTATTGTATACTCTACATTTGGAGGAATGCTTCACTTTACTTTGTGCTGAACATGGCCGGCAAGAGGGTATGAATTCAACAAAGTATATGAGACAAGAGACATGGAGAAATGTGCGGAGGAAGACTTGAAGAAATATCTTGAGGTTAGTGCAAAATTGTTATTCTTACAACATGCCCCTCTCTGTACAGGATTGTATCCCTTAGAACATCGTAGAACATCGTAGAACATCGTAGAAGATATACAGCACGAGCACATGCCCACTCAGGGGCCTCAGGGGCAACCCTTTCCCAGTGAACTTTCCCAGTGAATCTCAGGCTTATGCCCGACGGCCACCGGCCAGGGAGGGAGGTGGAAAAGGCTGAGTTTTTGCGGTCGGAAACATGTTGAAGCCATGTTGAAGGCCATGGTAAGACTGGTTGAAGCCGGCTAGCGGCTAGGGCCATCTAGGAGGCATGTTGGGGATATGTTGGGGCTATGTTGAACCATGTTGGGCCAGGTTGCGGCCATGTTGGGGCCTTGGGGCCAAGATGGTGCAGCTGGAGCCATGTGGCAGCCATGTGTAACCAAGTTGCGGCCATCTAGGGGGACAGGTTGGGGCCATGTTGGTGCCAAAACACACTGTAAAACACATGGTTTTCTAGCAAAAACAAGCTTGAGGGCAAGATGGACCATGCTGAAGGTTCTGCAGCCATCTTGCACCATGTTGCACCAATGTTAAGGCCATGTTGGGATTGGGGCCAGGTCGGGGCCTTCCTGGGGGCATGTTGCCATGATCGGGCCATGTGGGGCCATGGGCGATGGTGGGGCAACCTGTTTGCAAAAGCGAGACGCCAGAAAACACTGTAAAAAAATAGCGGTGGGGCAGGGGTCGGCACATAGCATAGGCATAGTACAACGTTTGGGGACATGCTGGGCCATGTTGTTCCAGCTTGGACCATGTTGCGGCCAAACACAGCGATTTTCAGTTCAGAAGCCACAAAACACGTAAAAAACAGGGGTGGCAGGGCCGTGTTGGGGCCATGTGGGGCAATGTAAGGGCTATGTTGGGGCAACATGTTGGCAAAGTGGGGCCATGCTGGGGGTATGTTTGGCCACGTTGTGGCCAACTTTGCACAGGTTGAGGCCATGTTGGGGCCAACATGAGCCCACGTTGAGGGCCATTTTGGGCCATCTTTAGGGGCATGGGTCATCTTGGGCCATCTTGGGGCATGTTGGGTCCACGTTGGGGTCATCTTGGGCCATCTGGGGGCATGTTGGGCTGCTGCTCTTAGTTGTGGTTGTCCTTGTTATGTAACCTCTCTTCCCTCACGCGCTCCCCGTTGCTGTTGGCCCGGGGTCGGCGGAATAAAAATATAGGGATCTTAAACCATAGGATCTAAATTGCGATTCAACGGTGTTTGTTTGACGAAAAACCCATGGTTGATCGGGTTTGGTGGCGAAAATGAGTTCAGCTTGTTGTGGGACGTTCCATTCGAAAACTGGTCGTGAGGGGTGGGCGTGCGCGTGTGTGTGCGTGTGTGCGTGTGTGTGTGTGCGCGTGCGCGGGTGTGTGTGTGTGTGTGTGTGCGTGTGCGCGCAACATCTGAAAAGATGTAAAACTTTTACTGTTGACTTAACTCATTCTTGCAGGGGGGCGATCTCATGTTTGCAGCTGATTGCCCAACGAAGAGGGCTGCAATCATGACTGGGACGCTGGAGTCCTCTACCTGCGATTTCATCCTTATTTTGCCGAAGTTTCTTTATTTACTGGACATGGCGACCGGCTAAGCCAAGAACCGGAGAGCTGATTTCGCTTCGAGCTTCACGAGTTTGCCACAACCTGGTAATTATTCACTTCGAGGATTGCATGCTTGCCGCAATCTGATATATCTAATCAATTGGTTTATATATATTTTTCATTGGAGACTATTTGAACACGTTTCTGATCCGGGTCCAGTTTTGGGAACAACTTCCTATTGATTGCAAACTACCTCCTGGAGGTTTCGTTGCACGTTTTGGGATTCAGTTCCCATCGGATCACTTCAACGATCCAGTTCTTGCCTCGTGTGATTTCCATGACATGGTGCCATGGACCCATTTGAGGGAACCCATGTGGGAGAGTGAGGAAGGATGGACCTCCGAATTTACAGATTTTAATCGGGGCATTCGTCTACGTAAAGTTCAAAAACACTTGGCCTCGATTCCACCTCAAGGACTTTTTCCAGGAGAAGATGTACTGCGAGGTGGAGAAGGGCATCGTTCTCTACTTCCTGACCTACCAGCTGGCGATGGCCAAGCAGCTGGACCCGATGGCGGCTCCAGCGACTGGCCAGCCTGTGGTGGCCGACCTTTCCCGCCACGATGGGGATCTTCAACCGAAAGAAGATGAACTGAGCGAGGGTTGGAGTGAACTTTCGAGCGTCTGAGCTCGTGTAGTTTTTCCCACTGGTGACTTGCCATAGTGGCAAGGGGGGAGTGTGGATGATTAAAGGTCTCCATTACTATTCATTTTTCACCAGCAGCTGTGAATGTGTGACATAGCAGTTGAAACTTGCAGCATGGCTATACCACGCTGCTCCGCTTATGGCTCAAGAAAACTTGTTGGCAGCTCAGGGCGCTGTTGACATCCTTGTTCATAACCCCAAATATTCATGTGTCTATGTATTCTTCATTGGAAACTATTTGAACACGTTTCTGATCGGGGTCCTGTTTTGGGAACAACTTCCTATTGATTGCAAAATACCTCCT